TTCCTGTTCTTGGCTGACATGAGTGTGGTCTTCTGCCTCCAGGTTCAATGTGTTGTGTATTCTGAGATGCTTTTCTGCTCACCATGGTTGTAAAGAGTGGTTATTTGAGTTACTATAGCCTTCCTGGCAGCTTGAAGCAGTCTGTCCATTCTCGTCTGACCTCAGTACAGTTGCATTGTATATCATATATCATGATGAGTAACCAAATAATTCAAACATTATCTCATTCAGTATGCTCTAAAACCTTTATCAACAAACGGTCATGTCCATGTCTGCAACTCCCAAACTTACATGATCCTCAGCTCATGACCTCATCACCTGACCTCCAGTCAAGCACCTATTCCCACTCTCACCTGATTGCTCTCATGTTTGCAATCACACTACTCCCTTTAAATAATCTGGACCCTCGGGGTTACTTTGTGAAGTCTTGCTCCAGCACTGTGTCTGTGAATATTCCATGTCTTGATTAAAGCAAGTGCTTTAACAATCACTGTAATGCATGCCCTTGATGGCAACAAAAATAATATGAGAAAATAGTGTTTAATTTATTATTAATAATATTCACAATAAACCATTCTTTCACCATGCAATGTAATCTGTTACCAGGAAGCTTTGGTTGCTAAGCAAAATATTAGGCAAAAATTACGGTATTAAATGGAAAGAATTATTCCTTAAGTGTAACAGTATTATTGGTTTAAAACCTGGAGCATTTAGTGATAGTGAAGTGACTTGTGGCCAAGTATGGTGACCCATACTCGGAATTTGTGCTCTGCATTTAACCCATCCAAGTGCACACACACAGTAGTGAACACACACACGGAGCAGTGGGCAGCCTTTTTTTGCTGCGGCGCCCGGGGAGCAGTTGGGGGTTCAGTGCCTTGCTCAAGGGTCTCACCTCAGTCGTGGTATTGAGGGTGGGAGAGAGCGCTGGTCATTCACTCCCCCCACCTACAATCCCTGCCAGACCTGAGACTCGAACCCATGACCTTCAGGTTCACCTTCGGGTTACAAGTCCGAGCCTCTAACCATTAGGCCACGACTGCCCCCCCCCAAAACATATTGGCAGCGGTGGGATTCGAACCCACGCCCCCGAAGAGACTGGAGCCTTAATCCAGCGCCTTAGACCGCTCGGCCACGCTACCTATTTATACAGTGCTATACTATACCATACTATACTATATGAAACCAATTATTGAATTCTGTCCATATATCAGAGATTTTACAATGGTTTTGGAACAGAAACTATCAGATTTATAATAGTGTTTTGATTATAGTCTGCTTCATGTTTCCTGAATTAGTCGTGTCTAGTTTTCTGTTTATCTGACTATTTGTCTGTCTTACATTTCTGAATACTTTCTAGTTCGTTGCTTAGGAAAAAAAAGAAAAACTGTGCTTGTGTCCTTCTGTTCACCTCATGACAAGTTGCCGGTGTGAAGTGACTTTTTTTAAACCATGCGGCTGAGTCACATAAGCATGTGCAGTCACATAAGCATTGATTCATCTATAGGCACAATACAATGTTTTTAGGAAGTTACTATGTTGTAGTATTGAAAAGTTATCAAACTTTTGAAGCATTGTGCAACTCTAACATTATATATACACTGTATTGTTACACTCTCAGCTAAGTCTGAACAGCTGCCAAAACACATGCAGAGCTGGTCAAACTGGTACCATTTTTGATAATTGGTAGAAAGGAAACAGTTTCCGAATCACTGCTACTAATGTTACATCATAGACAAGTTATTATTAAGAAAATGACAGCAAGATAACAAATGACAAAAACGACAAAACAAAAATGACAACAGTAAGGCAATTAGAAAATCATAATATGATCAATTTAGTCAAGTAATAAGACAGCTGGAAAATATCTTACCAGTTTGAAAAGATGGTCTACCAGTTTGAGCAGCTCTACCTGTGTCTTGGCAGCTGGTATCTCTTCAAACTGCAGTAGCTAGCACTTTATACTAATGCTAGTTTATAAGTCATTTATGAATTTTAACCAAATTAATTAACAACACCCTTTACTTCATTATTAATTACTCCTGAACAAACAAGTATGTACAGTTGGGGTCATAAGTTTACATATACCTTGCAGAATCTGCAAAATGATCAACAACTGTTTTTATGTTTTGTGATAGTTGTTCATGAGTCTCTTATTTGTCTTGAGCAGTTAAACTGTTAAAATTGAGGGACTCATACACAACTATTACAAACGATGCAAACATTCACTGATTCTCAAGATGGCAACACACTACATTAAGAGCTGGGGGATGTAAACTTTTGAACAGGTTGATTGGTGTAAATGGTTATTACTTTGTTTAAAGATCTTTTTTTTTTTTTTTTAATTTAGTATGGCCCTTCAGAAGATATTTACATGTTTCCCAGAAGACAAAATAATAACAATTTACCCCGATCATCCTGGTCAAAAGTTTACACCCCCCTGGCTCTCGTGTTGACTTCTTGAGCATCAGTGAATGTTTGCGCCTTTTGTAATAGTTGTGTCTGAGTCCCTCAGTTGTCCTCAGTGTGAAAAGATGGATCTCAACATCACATAGCCACTGTTGGAAAGGGGTCAAATATGCAGAAGATGCTGGAAAAGCAAAGAATATGTAAACATGCTGGAAATATGCTGGAAAAGCGAAGAATATGTAAACTTATGACCCCAACTGTAAATGAATTAAAACTTTGATAACTTTGTTAGTGCCTAGGCCCCCATCACTCTTCTAGTGACATTGCATTTCATCATCAGGGTCTTCTTCATCAACAGGGTGAATAAGTGAAGCAGAGAGTAGCAACACACAGCACTTCCCTAATTGGACTTATGGGATTGTGTGATGCTGGATGTTAATTTAGAGAACATTCACTGCCTCATATTCACCCAGTTAATGAAGAAGGTTGGATGAGTTCAAACCCCTCCATCACGATTCTTATACATGACAGATTGTTTTGAATAGAGTGAGTTAGCTGTGTATGTAAGTACAACAGTGAGTGTCAGAAGCTTGCTGCTTTACTTAATTTGTGTGTGTGTGTGTGTGTGTGTGTGTGCATGTGTCTGTGTCTGTGTGTGTTATAGAGAGAGAGAGAGAGAGAGAGAGAGAGAGAGAACAGGTGCTCTGGGCTGATTGAGTCATCGCTCACCCTGTGTTGTCCTCCGGTGTTTGTGCCTCCTCTCCCGGCAACCTGGTGACCTGGCTTTGGACACACACACACACACACACAAAGCTCTCATCCACCCACACATAACATATACACACTCCTATGATCTGCCCCTTCACACTATGCCACAAACTTCCCTTCAAACACACAAATACAAGCACACCATCACACCATCATTCCATCATGCCTCTCCTATGCACTCACACACTTACTATTATGTCTCCCCAGGACACACACACACACACCAGCATGCCCAGTCAGTTCATTTTGACTCTACAGGATTCTCTGAGTGGAAAATGTCAGAAGTGTGACCTCACACACTCACTGCTGTCCTGCAGAAAATCAAATATGAAGGACAGAGACCAGTGGCAAGATGTGTCACTAAAAATACTGTTTCCGTCAGTCTGGATCTTCATGACATACACATGCACACAAACACAGACTCACACACTCACACACAGAGCTAAAGATCTTACATGACCTTTTATAAGGGACATACATGAGTTTTTTTATGAATACCTACACTGCTATAATAATAATAATAATAATAATAATAATAATAATAATAATAATAATAACTACACATAGTGTATATACATTTAATGAAGGAAATATTGCTAGCAGGTTGCTATAAGTAAAGTCATAAAAGCTTTATGGATGGATGAATGAAGAAAAAAGGATTATAGGATTTGAAAAAGAAATTGATAGAAAAGTCCAAAAACTGTGAAAAGAGAAGAGTAATGTAGATGGACTCATATTGGAGTTTTAGTAATTATGAATTTCTGATGCCTTTGTCAAACTCTTAATCACCATTTGGGAACTCAACAGACTAATAATCCATGGATAATCTGACTGATAGCTCATATGCACACCTCAATCCGAATAGAGTAAAACAAATGGAGGCCAATCTGAATGAAGTTTCTATCTGGTAAAATAAGAGGAGTAATCATTTTAAATGATGCATGAAATACATTATACAATATAGTGGCCAATCATGGACACCTTTCTCCCCACAAAATATTTCAAAGAAAACTAAAATTAATAATGCAGATACTACTGTTATCAATATTGCTGATGCATGCACACAAGTCATAGATCCTCATGCTGTGATATAAGTACATTGCTTTTACATTCAGCCCCACTACTTAAAACATCTTCCCATATGCATGACAAGATCTGCCCAAGGAGTAAGAAGTGCTTGGATTAAAATTTGTTTGTTTGTTGGCTCAGCCATTTTGATTAATGAGTAATATACACTGCAACAAAATTACTGGAAAAAAAAATGTGGCAGACTCCAGAGCTGCTTCTTCAAATCATTTGGGTGAAGTACATCTTATGATATCAGATTGCCTTTTCATTTTTTCCCCCTTTGAGTTTAGGTACATTGAGCAGAGGCAGTAAAAGAGCTGAGTGAAGAAACTGGGAAGCAGAAGTGTGTTCAGGTGTTTTCATAATGTTCGATATGCAGAAAATGATCACTGTTACAATGACACATCTCTAACCATCTCGAGCTGCGTCTGATTGGTGTAGCAGTGTTGGATGGTTTTCAAACAGCCCAGTTAAATCAGTTCACAGTTCAATTAAAAGGAACTGAAAAGCAACCTAGAACTGAGTTCCAAATTAAAGCATAATTAAGATTTAACTGCACTTACTGCCAGTATTTCTTCAATACTACGTTGTTGTTTTTTCGTCTGCTCCCGTTAGGGGCCGCCACAGCGGATCATTGGCACGGGTTTTACGCCGAATGCCCTTTCCTGACGCAACCCTCCTATTTTATCCGGGCTTGTGACCGGCACTGAGTACACTCCCAGTGGCACTGAGTATACGCCCAGTGGCTGGGTTGGTTCCCTGCTTGGGATTCGGACCCGGGCCACTGTAACGAGAGCACAGGATCCTTAGCCACTAGACCACCAGGGACCTATTTCTTCAATACTATAAGGAAATTAAATGAATGAAGAGTGTTAAACAGAGCAGATCAAAAAGTGTGTATTTTAACTCCCTAATGCACATCACAGGTTTAAAAAAATGTTTCAAAGAAGAACATTAAGATAGTGAAGAACTGTTAGGTCCCTTAAAGTTCTGTTCATTGGCTTTTCACTGTGAAATTAAAAAAAAAGGAAACAGCTTTTTATTTGATTTTATTTTTTTGTTGTTTTGTTTTTGTTATCAGAAATTAATTCTCATTTTTTTCCATACAATTATTTCATGAAATAAAATATTGACTCATTTTAAACGTTATTAAACATTATTCACCACACATCTTGAAATCAAATATTAATGAAACAAAATAGGAAAAAAAAAGCCTACTACAGTACATTTCATCATGAAAAGAGCTGACCTGGAAGTACACACAGGCTATTCTACAGGCTATTCTCTGGTTAAGATGTGCACTCTACAAACATATTCTGTTTTCATAAAATATATGATAAAAATGGGATCTACATATGCAGAAATAAAAGGTATTTTTGTAAAACAGTTAGTGCTCCATTTTAGCATTACATCAGGCACTAATCTACACAGTAATTGCTGATACACATCTGGATCATTCAAGATTTCATTAATTTTAGACCTGAAATAATGGAAAATAAGCAAAGGAGAGATACAAGAGCTTTTTTTGTAATATTTCCTGTTTTGTAATATTTGTAATATTTAGCCATCAGATTAGCTACATGCATCTTGGCTGTCCCTCGTCAAGTCCCATATCATTCAAATTCGTTAACATTTTTAAAGGTGCTACAGCATTCACAGATCACATGTGATCTGTGATCTATTGTCATAGTTTTTGGTTGTCAAATG